ACAGGTGAGTGGAAAACTAAATCTATCTCCTTTTTTAAGGTCTTATGGGAGGAGATAAAACTCAAAAAACCTAACAGAACAGATTGTTACTGGAGTAATTATGTATGACTAGAAGAATCATAGAATAGTTTGGGTTGGAAGGGACCTTAAAGACCATCCAGTTCCCAACCCCCTGCCCTGGGCAGGGACACCTCCCACCAGACCAGGTTGCTCCAAGCCCCATCCAGCCTGGCCTTGAACCCCTCCAGGGATGGGGCAGCCACAGCTTCTCTGGGCAACCTCTTCCAGTGTCCCCCTCTTTCAGTTTCAAACTGCTACCCCTTGTCCTATGGCTCCCCTCCCTGACCAAGAGTCCCTCCCCATCTCTCCTGGAGCCCCTTTAGGGACTGGAAGAGGCTCTAAGGTCTCCTGGGAGCCTTCTCTTCTCCAGGCTGAACAACCCCAACTCTCTCAGCCCCCTGAAGTATAGTAAGATTTTTTTTGTTCTAATGCTGCATCAAGAAGTGGAAAAGCTAGGAGAAAACCTGGGAGACTAAGTAAAAAAAGTATCTTAATTTTATTTCTTGCAGTATTTGGCATAATTTTACTCAGAAGTTGAGTTTTTTATTGGGTATTATCACTGTTGATCCAGTTCACTCTCACATTCCCTCAAAGCATGACTGATGTCCAGCAGTTCACTGTAAACCAAAGTTTTAGCCACCAAGAGGCAATGCAAAATCCAAAACAGGTACTATGTTAAGTAGGAGACAAACTGTTCATCCATTTAAATGGAGTATTTCGGTATTTTGCAGAAGTTTGCATCTTTAACAGCACTACAGGGTTACTTCAACATAAGAGGGGGGAAAGGGGAGGGAAGCAGCCCCTGCCCCCCACATTATTAAATACATACCAGCCCATAAAGCATTTCATAAAGAACCGCACCAAGGCACCACCAGTCTACTGTGTTGTCATAGGGCTGCTTCTTGATGACTTCTGGTGCAAGATACTGAAATAATACATAAAAAAATATTTTAGAGCATTACAGCAAACCCCTTCAAGAAAAGTTGCTTCACAGCAATTTTAAGACTGTTAAGTATTTGCCTTCTCCTTCAACAAACCTGGCAAACACTTCATCACCATCTGGTCATTTACCAAGTAGGACAGCACTTTTCCCAACTGAACCAATGCTTCCCACACACTATTGTTTCACCAAACTACTTTGCCACCTCTGTTATGAAACTTGGTTTACATTTCAGATTGGTTGCTGCACAGGCAACATCTCTCAGCAAGCTGGCTACTAGCCACACCTATTCTGCCACCCTAAGCCTGTGTGCTCCCCATCCAGTACATAAAAAAAATGAGAGAAAGTATTAATTCTGCCTCAAATCTATCATTACTGAGAAACTGTATGACCTACATTAAGTTTCACTGTAAATCTCGGTGAGGGTGTGAGTTGTGAGTTGCTAAATTAGAGATTCTTGTCAAATAGTCACTTGACTGAGCTGCGATAAACATCCAATATCATCAAACACTGAATGACAGTGCTAATTGGTTTCCATCTGCCTTGCAAGAAACCTACTCGGCGTCTCAGAGCTTGCCAACACAACAGCACGAGGACAGCCACTTCACAATATGAGACTCTTCTCTGTGAACGTGTAATATAACATTACTATGGCTGGATCATCATCCTCTCTGTCCTCATCTACAAGCACACACAGCTTCTAACCTCTCAAAACAAGAGAATGCTCACTTCTATCATTCCAGTATCCAAATTCTGATATTTAGTTTACAAACAGATGATAGCATTGTCCGACAAGGCACAGCCTGAAACTCACAGTTTAATTAGATCAGTATTTCTCAAACTTTCTGTCTGTGTGAGTGCCCTGTAACTCATGACCCCGCAAAAGCATGAAAAGCAGCTCAAGTATTTTAAAATCAACTCCTTACACTTTTTTCAATCTTTCACAACCTCCTTTGGGCTTTTCAGATGTTGGAAACCACCAAGTCATTCAAGTCAGTTTTAGAAACACTGGGAAGATCGTTACACTTTTCACTGGATTATGAAAGATTTGAATCAAAATCTTGGATTAGAAAGGCTAATGCACAACTGCTATGTTTAGTCTTGTTATATTTTAAGTACTCATATGAAGTAACAGCATTAACATCCCCTTAATGTTGTAATTCATGCAAGTCCAAAGTAAGTGTGACGACTAAGCCTCTGCACATCAGAAAAAAGCCCCGCAGATGTTCTCAAACAGATCCAGAGTTACCTATATTATCATTTCAACTTCCCAAAATATCCAACAAATACTGCTTCAGCTCACATTTACCACCTAGTTTTATGGATTCCCACTCAAATCATAATTAGGATAAGTCATCATGTGTTGCCACCTGCCTTTTTTTTTAATTTAGTTCAACTGTTTCAGCTAAATACTACTTCTTGCTCATCCTTCATTGTCTTCAGAAGCATATTCTGTAATTTATTCTGTTTATCAAATTATCAAAGCATCCTGGTATTTCAGTGAATCCCTTATATGTGTTCAAAGCTTCCAGATTTTACATTTTCCAGTGTGCTTTTCTCAGTCAGAAAATAAAATAATAGAGTTCAACAAACTCAAGTCAGCAAGTTCAAAATTTAGTGCATATGCAAAATTTGCTCAAGACTCCAAGTTATTAAGCCCCTATAAACTTACTAAAAAAATCAGTGGCAGGATATGGAAGTAGATTCATCTTGGCAAATCTGTTGTAGTTGTTCCACAAGCTGACTGTCCTGTGTCTAAGCCAGCAGTTAGGAGACACGGGAGGAAACAGTGTTTGAAAAGGGTTGGAAAAAGGGAGGAAGGAAGAGATGAGCTATGGGGATGCGGGTAGTAAGTAGGAATTGGTGAAAAGGACAAAGAACAGCTCTGCAGGAAGCTTGTATTTGGCTTGGTTTCGTGGAAGAGCTTGTTAAAAGAATGCAAATCTTCAATAGTATAAAATAGAGTATTTGATCTTCCAGTTACACAAATAATAATAATCAACAGTCATTAATTACTAGCCAAAAAACCCACAAAAGTGGTCAACATACTTCCGGTGTCCCACAAAAAGTTGCAGTGGTATCAGAAGTTGCAATCCCTTCTTTACAGAGTCCAAAGTCTGTCAACACAACGTGACCCTGTTGAAGAAAAGAGTGGCATTTTAAAAACAGAACATGCTTAACATATAGATGTATCATAGAAACCCCAAAATAATGTTGCATACTTACTAGTGAATCGAGGAGAATGTTTTCTGGTTTTAAATCCCTGTTAAAAAAAAATAAATCGTATTAATTCAAAATAGCACTCACTAACACAAGAGCTTCAGAGGCAAGGAGCTTAATTCTTCTGCTGAAAGCTTCAAGTTTTGGTGAAATTGTTATCTTCAAGTTTCTCATAAGATGATTTCATGTAGTGGGTTTTATTCAGTAATTTGTCCTGTTTTGACAAGGATACATTTCAGAAACTTACCTGTACACTATATTTATGGAGTGTAAGTAGCCCAGTGCACTGGCTATTTCAGCAGCATAAAATCTGGCTCTGTGCTCAGGAAAGGAACGTTCTCTTTGTAAGTGAAAGAACAGCTGTAAACACACAAAAAGTAAATAACATTATACACAACAAATCAGGTTAATAATGTGCAATTTTAACAGTAAAAAGTGGTTTCATTTATTTATTTATCAACTACAGAGAGCTTTCTGGCTTCAAACAGTTTGAGCAGATATGGGAGTCTAGCCAAAGATTAAATCATAAACATACAGATTAAGCCATCCTACCCATTCAACTTATAAGCATTTTAAGTAAAAAGAAATTTTCTGTTTACCACCTACAAAGTTTGGGGAAAAAATAAAAAGCCATCAGAGCTTTCTAAGCACTTCATTCAAATTCACAAGCTGTTTTGAACTGTATTTTAGTTTGCCCAGAAGAATGCCCAACTAAGTTGTGGCCAGGAATTCCAAGTAGAGCAAACCAGGAGTTTGCTAATAAAGTCTAAATAAGACAACAGTGCATTAGACAAGAGAAAGGCCCATCTTGTCCCAGCTCTGACACTTAAAAGGGGTCAGAACATCAACATCCTAAATTCTGACAGTTGGCCATGTGAATATCAACTAATATACCCCCAGTTCATCTCTCATCCTGGTTTCCTCAGCACACTTTATACTTGTCTGTGTATATTCAGCTGCAGTGACATAATAGGAAACCTCGAGATATGCCAAAAAACCCCTATTTAAATTCTACTCCTCCTCCTGTGCTCTTTCAGCTACCGGAGTTTTATCATCTACAACAACATCCTATCTCATCCTTCTTTCCTGTTCTGCTTTAAGTACCTGTAAGACCTTCTGAAATGTATACATTTTACACCAATAAATTACCAAATTGAAAACACAGCAAGTGACAAAGAAAGCTCTTCTTTAAAGCACGTAAGTTGGATAGCTTCCTACATAGGATTAATATTATTAGTCCTAAAGACTCTTGATTTTCCACAAAACCTTTTGAAGGAAGGGAAGCAACCTTTTATACCCTTCTCCTGTGCACTATTCAACCAGTTTATACCTAAGTTTCCTGAGCGCTCCTGGAAGTAGTGGGTTCTTTGAAAAGCAACAGCTCTCTAGTTGAAGACCAACCATTCCACAATATTTTATTTAAACATAAATGGAGAAAATCTATATCTTTCACAAGTTTTCCCCCCCAAGTTACTTAGTGGCTCTTCAGGTTCAATAGCATCACTTCAAGGGAAAGAATTCTGAGGATAAGGCTGTTTGGCAGGAATTAGACCGTGCAAAGCAACAGAATAATCCCAAGGTTCACAATAATATCAATATAGTAAATTCACTTGCCAGTTTTCTTCCTTCAGCTTTCAAAATACTACCATCTCAGCTAATGCAGATACAAGAGGAAAAGACAGTTTTACATGGTGAAAAGTATCAACATAAGATTAATTGGTAGTAAAGGTAAAATGATGCAACGGTAAAGTACAGTATTTCGAATCATAGAATTGTTGAGGTCGGAAGGGACCTTTCAGATCAAGTCCAACCATCAACCCAACACTAACAAAACCCATCACTAAGCCATATCTCTAAGCTCTATGTCTACCCATCTTTTAAATCCCTCCAGGGATGGTGCCTCAACCACTTCCCTGGGCAGCCCATTCCAAGGCTTAATAACCCTTTCAGTATAAAAATTGTTCCTAATATCCAATCTGAACCTCCCCATGCGTATATGTATCTGACAACCATGAATAAATTTGGGATTGAAGTTGTCAATAAGAGGAACAGGACCCATCTAGCCAGGTCCATATGTCTGTAATAACAGCAGATAATAACAGGATTTTCAAAATTGGGAGAATACTGCTAACAACCCATTGTAAAGGATCATTTCATTCCTCCCACCTAGAATTAGAAAAAGAGAGAGCCTCAAATCCAAATACAACCACCACATACCTCTCCTCCATTAACAAAATCCAGGACAAAGTAAAGCTTTTCTGTTGTTTGGAATGAGTAATGTAATCCAACCAAAAATGGATGTTTCACATTTTTCAAAAGCACGTTACGTTCAGCCATAATATGTTTTTGCTGTAAAGGAAGCAAAAGATCAATAAGTAAACAGGAACAATTTTGTAATTAAGGGAAAAAGGAAGGGAGGTGGGTGGAGAAAAGAGTATTTCTCTTCACCTCTTTCCTATTAAGGACGATTTTTTTCTGCAGCACTTTGACAGCATAGTATTTCCCGTCCAGTTTTCGTTTTGCAAGAAGAACCTGTGAAATTCAAAAGAAATGAAAAAAATGTGATTGCTGCAGTTCACATTCTATTGGTAACATTTTCATCATTTCAGCATAAATGGAAAGTGTTTGTACTATTTTTTGTTTTGCAGAATGTCAATATTTAAGTCACTTTTCAACGGGCTGTTGCTCACAGTGTTCCATAGCATTAGGGGGTTTGACAAACCAGCCCACACCAGCAAAGGGAAACGCAGGATTCGTATTCAGGTACCTCCCTTCCTCTCTGGGGGAAACAGAGGATCCCTATTGCTCTTAACGAGAAAGGGAAACACTCCCTTTTGTAACTCCCAGCAAGTGAGCTGGGCAGCCAGCAACGAATGCACCAGGGGAAAAATGGCAGGGATATAAAGCAGCAGCAACAGGGATCCAATCCGACAGTTCCTACGCCACCCCAGACTGACACCACTCCCAAAAACTCACACCAAATCTAGCCAAGCATCATCACACAGAAGACACCAGCCAGCATCCCTGCACCAGGAGGAGACACGGTAATAAGAAAGCTCACCTTGCCAAAGCTGCCTTTCCCAATAACTTTCAGGAAATCAAAGTCGGTTGGTTTCGCACTGAAAGATATTTAGGAAGGAGACAGGTCACCTGGGTAGAGATTACAAGCTTTAGAGCTGTACAGCAGCCTGGTGTAGCACTGGAGGTGTGATGTGAGAAGAACAGTCTGTCAGCACCCTCCTCTATTCTTCCTTCTACCCAACACCTAGACTTTTGCAGACTTTCCCTCAGAGACGACGACAATTCTTCATTTTGCAGTTCTATTTTCCTCCAGGGAAAAAGTGTTCAAATTGCATCCTTTGAGTTTATTTTATTTTGTAAGTTTAAGACGTAAAATGGGAGCAAGTCTGTTCTTTTATTCTTCGTAGTCTAGTTTGCCATTTTCAAGACTCCATTTCCCCATGACTTTTCCTGGAGCTTATTTTTCAAGCTTACAGGAGGGAAGGATGGACCAAATTCATTATCTGTTCTCTCTTTGTTTATCCCATTCTTCCCTCCATCCACTCCTCTCTCATTTTAAATTACAGCGAGAGGAGGGAGGCCCTAATGCCTTCCTCTTCTGTGCGTGTAGGTATGAACTCACTCTCAGTTTTTCCACTTCCCATATGACCACTCCTTTCAGTTATTTCCCAGGATTCCCTCACTTTTTCCCAAATACAATGCAGAGATATTTTTGTCAGCAAAACAATTATCCGTGTTTTCAAATTCCAAAACAACAGTTACATCACCAGACACCTCTCCATTTATCGCCCCTGAAGGGAAGTACTCTTAAATTTCATTTCTTACTGCAATCTATTAAGCATTTCCTCTTGTTAGGTCAGAACAAATCCATGAGGAAAGCTAAACCAAAATAGCAGTCATCTCCTAAATGAGAAAAGCACAGATTCACACAGAACTGAGACCAGAAACTCGACAGAAAACAACAGAGAAACCAGTTATGAGAGCAGTAATTAGGTTTCTGGTATCAACAAGCCAAGAGGCTCCTTTGCTGTGCATTAAAACAACCTTGTGTTCATAAACTGTTCACATTCTTAACTGTTGTGCGACCACTCCGAAGACAGAGAGGTCATCCTCAAGTATCCTACAGCATCCTTAAGCAAAAGACTAGCAGACTCTCAAAATCTGAAGGTAAAAAGGAAAAAAGAAAAATGTTTTAAAGGTAGTCGTTTATATAGCAGAGTGTTCAAGGTCTTGCTTCCTCTGGTGCAGTGCAAATCAACAAGTATCCAAAAGAATTCTTCATACTATTAACAATTACACTCAGCCTAATTTTTCAGGTTTTAAAATTAATTTAAATACATTTTTCTTAAAATAAAAATTTCACATTCAATTGAATTACATTTTAATTCAATTTAATTGAAACCTACTGAGGATTTCCAGATGGTCCCAAGTTGATATTCTGTGAGGTAGAGTTTAACTGTTGAGAGAGACAAAGAGGTTTATTTTTAATTATTTTTTTTTTTAATTCTCCCTTGTATTATTAACTTCAAAATACTAAATTTGCTCAAACCATACCTTCACACCTGTTATATTAGATTTTTCTAAAGAGATCTAACATCCAGATTGGGATCTTTGTAGGTTGAAATACCTGGCCATCATCACCTTGTAACAAATAAT